AAAGAGAAACAAAGTCTAAGCGACAGCTTTCATATAAAACAAGCTGGCCTCAAAATTGCAAGGTAGCCAAGGATGACCTTGATCCTTCAGTATCTGTCTCCTAAGTGCTGGGATTATGGGTATGTGCTCTCTGCCTGGCTTTATAGCATGCTATCGATCAAAAACAAGACTTTGTGCATGCTACACAGGTACTCTACCAACTGAGCTACATCTGAAGTCCCATATTTTTTTCTAGTGCTGAATACACAACCCAGGACTTTCACACACACTAGGCAAACAGTCTACCACTGAGCTACACGCCCCAGTCCTCCAGTTAATTCATTTTGTGAGAGTGTCAAGACAATTTTAAAAAGTAGTCTTTTCAACAAATGGTATTGGGAGAACCAGATATCCACATACAAGGAATGTATTTATACTCATACCTCATATATGTGAAAATAACTCAAAATGGATCAAAAAATCTAAATGTAAGAACTAAAACTACAAAGACCTTATAGGTTAAACATGAGCATAAATCTTCTTATATTTGGCAACAATTATTATAGGTGACATCAAAAGCAAAAGAAACCAAAAATTAAAAATAAGCTAGACTTGGTCAAAATTGAAAACTTTTTCACTGCAAAGAACACTATAAAGAAAGTTAAAAATCACCTCTGCTTTGCAGAGAGTCTTTCTCTCTGTGTGCTTGCTGCAGGCACACATGCCTCACCCCTAATAAAGGCCTTTCTTTAGCAGATTTCTTTAGCAGACTGCTGTGTTTGAGAATTCCCCCCATTGCTACCTATTGAGCTTGAGATTTTTCCCTGCCTTTTAATTTCTTAATTGGCAGAGAAGATGAACTTGATCAAGACCCCTACATGGTAACAGAACTGACCTCAGGATTCAGATGTAGAGTGTCTGCAGCCCCAGTCCATCATATGCCCTATAGGAGGAGGTGGGTTCACCAACCATCAAGTGTGGGGCTTTGGAAATGGAGCCTTTATTCTATCTTAGTTCTTTAATTCATAACATTTCATTTGGAATTACTTTCTGGTATTAAACCTATATTGAAATCCAAAAGATTTCAAAGATTCCCTTCAGGAAAAAAAAACGAATTCTTTCTCTGTCTCTGTCTCTGTCTCTGTCTCTGTCTCTGTCTCTGTGTGTGTGTGTCTCACACACACACACCCCTACCTACCTCCCCGCCAGGAAATATAAACCTGGGTCTCCAGGCTGACACCACTAAACTCACAAGGTGGGCAGTTAAGTTAGATGGCAGCTAGAAACCATGTGCTGCTCTTTGATGTTATATTTTAACTGCACAGTAAAGGAATTTAAAGAGGAAGAGTTGATGAGTACCAGGCCCTCCCTGAGATCTATAGGCAGTTAACAGTTACAGAAGGAGAGAGATATTCTTCAGCAGTATAGCCACTGATAAATGGTCCATGCTTCTGTAAATATCCCTCACCTGTTCTCCAGTAAGTAATCCTAATTAAGCATGTTGGTTCACAAACTAAATGAAGCAAAATACTGTTATTTCCCAATTCAAAAGAAGAGGAGGATGAGTAGGGGGAAGAGAAGATGAGGAAGAAGAAGAAGAAGAGGAGGAGGAGGAGGAGGAGGAAAAGAAGAAGAAGAAGAAGAAGAAGAAGAAGAAGAAGAAGAAGAAGAAGAAGAAGAAGAAGAAGAAGAAGGGAAGGAAGGAAGGAAGGAAGGAAGGAAGGAAGGAAGGAAGGAAGGAAGAAAGAAAGAAAGAAAGAAAGAAGAAAGAAAGAAAGAAAGAAAGAAAGAAAGAAAGAAAGAAAGAAAGAAAGAAAGAAAGAAAGAAAGAAATCGAAAAAGGCATCATGCTAGTAGGCAAGTGCTAAAGAATACAAGGCATAAAGTTCAGTATTTCAAGACCAGCCTGGACCATGCCTTAAACCAGACATGGTGGTGCACACTTGGGAAGTAGAGGCAGGCAGATCAGGAGTTCAAGGTTATCCTCAGCTACATAGTAAGTTCAAGGCCAGCCTGAACTACAGGAGACCACTTCAAAAACAATAACAAAAAAAATATTTGAAGACAAGTCATTGAGTGAGAAAAATACTTACAAATTATATATTGAGTGATAGGTGGGTGAACACTGATAAGCATAGCTGCTTTCCAAATTATATATTTGATAATAACTTTGTATATAGTATTCATAAATAACTCTTACAATAAAATGGTATAAAAATAACAATTCTTAAAGTGGGTGTTTGGACATGGCAGCACATGCCTATAATTCCAGTACTCAGGAGGCAGTAACAGAGGGCATCTATATTCCATAGCAAGTTATGGCCCCATGGGCTCCCTAGTGACATCCTGTCTCAAAATATTGGGAGTGTGAATGATCTTAATAGACACTTATCTAAAGAGACTGGTACAAATGGTCAATAACCACACGAAAAGAAGCCCAAAATCATCAGTCATTAGGCAAGTACAAATAAAAACCACAATGAGATGCCTCCTGATACCCACTAGTATGGTTATTATTTTTTAAAAATACAATAAAAATGGAGCCAAGGATGTGGAAAATTTGTAGCACTAACATATTGCTGGTAGGAACACAGAATGGTGTAATCACTTGAGGAAATAGGTTGGAAGTTTCTCAAAATGTTCAGCATTTTGACCCAGCAATTTTACTCATTGGTATATGCCTAAGAAAACTGAAACCCTGTGTTTACACAATAACCTATACATGACTGTTCGTAGAAACATTGTTCATAATAGCAAGAAGGGGGTGAAGCATAAACAACTTATAACCTAGTATCTACCAATTAATAAATGGGATAAACACAACATGGTCTATTCTCACAGTGAAGTATTATTCAACAATAAAAAGGAATGAAATACTGATAGATGCTACAACAAGAATGAAGCCAAACACAAAAGGCCACTTAGTATATGGTTCCATTGCAATCAAACATCTGGAATAGATAAATCCATAGAGACAGATCACAAATTGACTGTTGTTATACATTGGAAGGAGATGGAAATAGACAAAAACTGTTGGGGTTTTACCTTGGAGTCATGGAAACATTTTGGAATGAGACAAGAGTGGTGGTTATACAATATCATAAATACACTAAATGCCACTGAGTTGTTTACTTTATGACAGCTAATTTCATGTTATGTGAATTTTTACCTCAATAAATTACTTAAAAGAAAAAGCAATACAAAACCTAAGCTAGTATTTCCATTTATAAATAACATTTTAAAAGTTGAAAAGCGCCGGGCGGTGGTGGTGCACGCCTTTAATCCCAGCACTCGGGAGGCAGAGCCAGGCGGATCTCTGTGAGTTAGAGGCCAGCCTGGGCTACCAAGTGAGTCCCAGGAAAGGCGCAAAGCTACACAGAGAAACCCTGTCTCGAAAAACCAAAAAAAAAAAAAAATTTGAAAAGCAATTCAAAGAGCTAGAAGTTACTTAGGTCCCCCAGAACTGGAGTTGCGGATGTCGAAGACACTATGTGGGTGCTGGGAAACAGGCCTGGGTCCTCTGGAAGAGCAACAAGTGCTCTTAACCACTAAGCCATCTTTTCAGCCCTTAAATATATGATCTTTTAAAAAGATTTATTAATTTTTATTTTATGTATATGAATGTTTGCCTGCATGTATATATGTGTACCATGAGTGTACAGTGCCCGTGGAAGCCAGAAGAGACCATCATTTTCCCTAGAACTGGAGTTTCAGGTGGTTGTGAGCCACCACATGGCTTCTGGGAATCAAATCCAGGTCCTCTGCTAGAGTAGCAATTCCTCTTAACCACTGAGCCCTCTCTCCAGCCTGAGCTTAGTGTTTTATTAACCTAAGAAATCTGACAAACTGTGAAGGAATAGGCAGGAAAAAGTGATATGAAGGTGAATATGAGCAAAATACATATGAGTATGGCAAAGTACATGATGCACATAGAATGGTATCATAATAAAACCCTTTATTTGTTCACTCATTTTGTATAATCAAATAAGGTAATAGTCTCCTCTGTTTGTGTTAATAAACTACTACCATGGAATTAGTTTGTGGTATACTTAGATTCCAAACAGTTAATACACCTGTCATATTCCTTCCTAATATCAGAAATTAGCCTACAAACCTAGCACAATTCAGCTGATGAGAACAAGAGTTGACTCCCCAAAGAAAATACCCTAGACTAACTAGTATAGAATACGCTGCCTCCTAAACTCTCTACCATAAACCTGGATAAACTTGAACCGAGATATAGAATAAAAACCAATGAAAGAATCCGTAACTTAGATAACAAAAGAATGGAGCTTAGTAGCAAAGTGTTCATATAATTGTCGCAGCTTGTTATTTTAGTTTGCTTGCAGAAGCTAGGTGTCTTAAACATGCAAGTGAGTTTCAGCTGGATTCCAGTAGCTATGGAAAAGTATCTCTGTACAAAATAAACAAAGGCAACATTTAAGTCTCCAACTACATGGAGGTAGAAGTGGATATGTCATCTATGCAGAAGCAACACACTTCTTTTGGAAATGAATATCTGGCATTGTCACTAGAATATTTTTAAAACGTAAGGCAAATCTCATGAAGTTCTACATTGAATAGATATTTTTAAAATGTGATCATTGAGCTATAAAATCCAATTAAATTCAATGCCAGCACTAAATGTCATATAGGTATAGTATGCCTATTACATGAGTATAGAAGAAGTAGATATATAAATTCCATTGTCTTTCTGGTTCCTTGTCACTGAGTTATAAATTGATACTTTATACTGGAACATTTTAACTGAAATGAAATCAAACACATCTCTTAAATAATACTTTATAGTATATCATGATCTCAAAGCTGCATCTTTCTACAGATGGTTTCCCATGTTCCCCTAATATTTCACCTTCAGTCCACATAATGATGTTTTAGTACAGAAACACACAGGGCAGCTTGAGAACCATGGGAATAATAAACAAGAAACAGGAAGGAGTGTGCGTCCAGCTTGATCCCTCTTTTTCATTCATAAAAACAGGCTTGTACCCAGCACTCACCTTTCTCCGTGTTGTTAATTTTTACTGAAGAACTGCCACAGCCCATGACTCTCAATCGAATGGTGCTTACAAATTCAACTTCTGACTCCACAATTGAGTGTGAAGTCCCTCCCTTTGTGCTTCAAGAAGCCGCGGATTCCCTTCAGCACATGGATGCTAATGAGGAAGACAGAGCAGGGAGGGACAGAAAGCACCAGTTAACAACATGGTAGCTAAGGGCCTGCTCAGCAGGCCTCACGCCTCACTTTATGCTTCTGAATTGCTGTTCATCACTTGATGTGAAAAGTGAGCACATATAATCCGATCCTTGTTTAGTTTTCAAACCACAGGAACGGCCACAAAATAGCTGTAGATAGTTTTTGCTGCTACACCAAAATGATAGTTTCCCATGTTCAGGTCAGTTCAAGCTTTGTATAAAATTGGGCACTAAAAATGAAAAGAAACACTGAAATGCAAGAGTGTGTAATTTTCTAATTAAAATACAGGGGATGGAATATGGAGGAGCTAACATAATTCAGTTGTTTTGGCTTTAAAACTGAAAGTAATTAAATCTATCTAGGCTTTTAAGCTCAAATTGGAGGCTATGAGACAAAAACAACACATTTAACTATGCCAAAAATCAAATCAAAGTGAGTTTTTGGCAATATTCCTTAGAATCAGTCAAGAAGGGCCTTCCTTACAAAACAGGAGGCCCAAGACCTCCCCTAAAACTTATAAATCGTAATTTGAGTGTGTCCTTAAACAAGCTTCCAGGTGTGGCAGAGGCAGCTCCAAAGCCTTGCCATCTCCCCTCATACTTACTACATCCTTCAGAGAAAGCCACCCAGTTAATCCTTTTGGAATCATCAGATGAAGGCTTCCAACAGGGTTCCTCTGTGGAGCATAGCATCTGCTCATCTCATCCCATTGTTTGCTGTGTGTGTGGGGGGTGTTTCTTCTATTTTGTGATACATTCAGATGGCCTATTTACATTTATTGATAAGAACACAGAGAACAACTGTATTTTTCTTTTACTTCTACACTAAAAGCTTAAAAATTTTTCAACTCAGCTAAAGAAGGGAAACATTAAAATGACCAAACTAGAAATATAGCTCAATGGTATAGCATGTTCGTGGCATTCTTGATGCTCTAAGTTCAAGTCTAGGCACCAAAACTAAATAAATAAAATTTAACTATAAAATTATTTGCAATCAATAATAACCTTAATAACCAGATTTTCTATTCAGAACTGATTTCATTATGTATTGAGTTAATCAACCTTTCTAAACATTGGGTTATTTCAAGTTGGATGGGAATTTCTTTTGTAGATTGTTTTGTTGGTGGTGATTTTGTTTTTGCATTTTGGGGCTTGTCTTATTTCATTTTGAGATTGAGACTTATGTGGCCCAGGGTTGCCTCAAATTCCCTATGCAACCAAGGATGATCTTGACTCCAAATCCTCTTGCTCCACTTCACAAGTACTAGGATAACAGATATGTACCACTCAGTTTATTCAGTGCTGGAGGCTTCATCCATGTTAGGGAAGCACTCTACCAATTGAGCTAACATAATTCAGATGCTTTGGCTTTAAGCTGAGAGTAATTAAATCTACCTAGGCTTTTAACCACAAATTGGAGGCTGACTATGAGACAAAAAAACATTTAACTATGCCAAAAACCAAGTTAAAGTGAAATTTTTGGCTATTCCTTAGAGTCACTAAGGAGGAGACTCCTTACAAACAACAACAACAAAAACCCAAACAAACAAACAAACAAAACCACAAAAAAAACCCAAGGCCCAAGACCTTCCCCAAATTTATTAATTATAATCTGAGATCCTCAGTTTCTCCTTTTGCATATTTGTTTTCTAAATCATGGTGTTATATAACAGTTTCCTCCAATATTGAAACATCATATCCTGCAGGGAAGCTCTTTAAGCAGGGAGGTAAACAACTCAAAAGAGCTTCAGGAAGTCCCTGAAACTGACTAGATTCACTAGGATCCTCTCAGCTAGAGTAAGCAATAAAGACTACCAAGAGTCACTCTCCAACAAGCTGCTCACTCTCAGAGAAGCCAAACAGTAAAGACTCTGAGACCATACCAGCTGCCTGAAAGAGGTTTAGACTGACTGAGACATCTGGAAAGGACACGTTCCAACTTGTTGAGCTGCCTATAGACTGTGCAGTACACTCCAGGTTCCCAGCTTTTATAAGTTGTTACTCATGCTGGGGTGGGCTTTGGTGATGCAGCTGTCTTTGAGTCATTCCTGCTCTTGTAAGTAACCCTTCACCCATAATTGTAAGTAACCCCAATTAAATTCATTGGTTCACCAAGTTGGACTTTGGTGGTATCCATACGTTGGTCTACCATGGGCTTGTGTGTTGCATCTCCCCAGGAAAAGTTTTGTCACACAACACATGGATAAAAATGTTAACAAGCTCAAGTTCAAAGGCCGAACAAGCCTTGTGACACTCCACATCATTCTTCAGGATCACCACAGATCCACTGCATTCATAATCTATCAGCCTAAGCTCATTTGTTTAGGAGGTAGGGAGGAGGAAGAAGAGGAGATGAAGAAGGAGGTGGTCTGGGGAAGGAGGAAGGAAAACAGTCAGTTTGGAGAGATTTTAATAAAGGAATCACAGACATTTAAATATGTGAAAGATCTTTACAATTAGTATGTATATACAGTGCAAGAAAGTTAAGCAACTTGCTTAGTGTCATACAGACCTATAGTTGTCAAACTTTGTTAGCAATTAGAATTATTGAAGGGGCTTTTTAAAACTCCCAATCTCAGCCTGAACCATTAAATCAGAATCTCTAGGAGTTTAAAAAAGACTGATGCCCAGGACCTACCAATTGAGATTCTCATATAATTGTTACTGGATGGGATGATTGAGCATCGGATGACGGGGTTAGGGAGATGGCTCAGTCAGTAATGTTCTTGCTGTGCAAGCATAAGAACCTGAATTTCATCTCCAGTACCTGGGTTAAAAAACAAAACAACAACAAAAACCAGGTATGGTAGTATACATTTGTAGAGCAAGCAATGAGGAGGCAAAAAATGAACAGACTCCTATGTCTCAGTGACCAGCCAGCCTAGCCTAACCAAGGATTTCTAGGCCTGTGAGAGACCCTGTCTCAAGAAAACAATGTGGACAGCGTCTAGGAAATAATACATAAAGTTGTCCTTTGGCCTCCACAGCACATACAGTATACCTACACATAGATGAACACACACACACACACACACACACACACACACACACACACACACACACACACACACACGAATAGAAATGCTGTTAAAGTTTTCTAAATACTTCTAATATGCAACAGAGTTTGACAGTCTCTACTAGAAGGCGTGTGTTAGCAAACCCTGGATTCTACCTAGCAATCATTTTCCTAGAAGTGCTTTCAATCCATCTATTTGAAGCTGAATTTTGCAGTCATAATTACAAGCCTGTAGTTTGGGGCATCTATTCTTTTCTCACTTTTTAAATTAGTGTACCATTTCCACTCTCAGGAATTTCCCAAAGGTCATTTGTGGTTACCTATGAGAAAGCAAGTTCTTTCATCCCTTTTTGAAGTTATTATTCCAGACATAGCAGCTTTCTCCAAGTCAGTACTTTCCAGTGAGGGAGAGGGGTTAAGACACAGATTCCCAGGCCTTACCAATAAAGCTAGACATCTTTTTAAAACCTAGGGTCTTGGAATCTGCCTTGGAACACAGCCATGGGTTGGGGGCATAGCTGAGTGGTAGAATTCTTTCCTAGCACGCCCAAGAACCTCAAGTTGAATCCCCAGAAGTATAGAAATAAACAATAAAGTGTACCCTTCAGGGAACTTTGATGTTGGCAGTCTACATATCGCAGATCAAAAACTACTATCTTCCCATAGTATCCATATTTCCTTATGCTACTTCTTCTATCCCTTTTTATGAATTGTAAGAGTAGGATTTTGAGGAGTTGGAGAGATGGCTTAATGGTTAAGAGCACTGGCTGTTCCTCCAGTGTATTCTGGCTCTATTCTCAGCATCCATATGTCGGCTTACAATCATCTTTAACTCCAGTACCAGGATTCAATGCTCTCTTCTGGCCTCCATGGGTACCAGGCATGCACATGGTACATAGACGTACATGTAGGCAAAACACCCACAAACATAAAATAAAATAATTTTAAAAAATTTTAAAGAGTTGGCCCCTGAGCAGGCAACAAACACTGATTGGATAACAGGAAGTGATATAGTTTAATCCTGATGTTTTTCTTGGCCAGAAAAAAAAAGCAGTGCATCTCCAAAGATATTTGTATCAAGGCCCCCTCAAAGTTAATTCATCACATAACAAAATTACATTAGGAAGCTGGGCACAGTAACACATGCCTATAATCTCAGCACCCAGGAGAGGGAAACAGAAGACTCAAGTGTTTGGGGCTCTGGAAAGAACTAAACTTGTCAGTACCCAGTCCCAGGTGGAGGATGAGTGCATGGAGCCCATTTCCTCACCACTGAACCATTGGCTACTGAAGGATTTTGGATGAGGTCAGTAAACCCATCAGGCTTCATCAGATAGCTCCAGACCCAAGGACACACCAATGGCCCTGGTTAACCTCAGTGGGTCACAAAACAAAATAAAAAGACATGAACATGGTAAAGGGACCAATGGGGAGAAAGGAGTTTGACAGAGGTGGGAAGGCAGAAAGAGACAGTGAAGGTGAGAATAATCAGAGTGGATTCCACGCATGTCTGAAACTCTCACAAAGGGCTGGCAAGATGGCACAGTGGGGGAAGACACTTGCCACGAAGTCTGAGGACCCGAGTTCAATCCCTGTAACCCACACAGTGGGAGAAAAGAACTAATCTCACAATCTTGTCTTCTGACCTCCACATACATGTTGTAACAGGCACCACACATTTACACAAAATAAATATATGCAATAGAAAATTTTGAAAGAACTTGTGAAAGGAGAAATTTCATTAATTTGTAAAACTAAGAGCTGGAGGCCATCCTAAGATACAGAGGAAAAGCCTGCCTCAAAAATAAAAACAAAGCAAAAGAGTCACTAGGAACTTCAAAAGCACGAAACTTGAGTTCATTTCTGCACACTGTGAGCTCCATACTGATAACTTTCTTCCTGAATACCCTCTGAATCTCCAGCACCTGTACAGTGCATTCCCATAGAATGTGTTTGATAAACGCCGAAAAGATAAGTAAAGAAATGAATATTTCTAAGCTAGAGTTCCTTAAAAATTAATTACTAAAAATCATTGTTATTGCATCATTGCATACACAGATATGTGCTATTTTGAAGGTATAAAAGCTTTTTATTAAAGTAGAAATAGGTAGTGCTTATCAAGCCTTTGTTAAAGCGTATTTTAAAATCAGGATGGAAAGAAATGGTAATTGTTCTAGAATCATTTGGTTGTCTGTTAGAAACAGTAATTGACTGCTAGAATTGTATGTTATTAATTATTAAATTATTTTAAACCTATTATTCTCTCTCCATTAATGGACGGAGGAAAAAGGGAAGGGAGGAAGACAAAGAAACAGAGTTCTGTTTAGCTCTCACCAAAACATGAGTCAGTTCAGGATTGGAAACGCTGTTTTAGGCTGCCCAACCTAGACTTTAAAGCAGAGGGGGAAACAACTTGTGAGCCGTGCCCATGTGCCTCTGAGGACACCTCTGACTGTATAGCTGATAAAGATGATGGAGAGATTTCCCACTCCTCAGTGCAGCCTAAGCTGCTTCTAGCCCCGCCCTCTGCCAGCATTAGCAGAGCACTTAACGCACTAACAAAGCCTGAAGAAGCGATTCCCTGAGGAGCTCTCAGGCTCAGGGGACCATGGGTTTCTCAGGGGTTCCTAAAGCCCTGCTCGAGTTGACACGTTGTATCATGAAAATTTCTCGAAAACCATACCACGGATGGTTTTAAAGAACAAACATGAAATAGTGAGTCATCGGCCACTGGCGGACAATCTGTAAAAGGAAAGGGTTCTATTAGAAGGTTTGTACAGTGTATTCAGGGGAGGTCTGGAGGGGGGAACTGCTGGATGGTGCTCATTCTTCTCACTTTACCACTGTAACTGCAGAGCTGAAACTGTGCAGAGAACAAAAGATGGCCCTTGGAGGCAGCTTCACCTCCAGCTCTAGGAGCTTTCCAAGTGTCAGCCCAGCCTCCTCAACTTGCTCTTATTCCGTCTTAGCATTCTTTTTATTGCAAAGTGCATCTCTATCCAACTCCCACACCGTGGCTCAGCCACCCTGACAGAAGTCCACTTCTGACAATGCCTTGGATGTCAGCTTTGCAGCTCCCCATGTCAAAAGTTCAGCTTTTCCTAAAGGTGTTGGTTTTGTGAAAAATTGCTACACAAGCTCTGGCCCTACAGAAGTAAAATCCGGAACCCGACTCTGTCCCCAAGTCCTTCCTCACCAGCATAATGGGAAATCGGCAGGAAGGTGTCATTCATCCTCCATGAAATGAGTAGACATTCTCTGGGAAGAAAGAGGGACAGGTGCCTCATCAGGCCGTGCATTTTTATTGGCACTTGCTGCAACGGCAGTTCTGAGCCTGCTGCCTATGGCCTAAACATACTTAATGGAGATAGGGTGGGGTAGAGAAATGGCCATCAGATGCCACTAAGTACGTCCTTTGCACAGCTTTCTTCTACCAAGCATTTGCCTGTGTCCAGGGTCTTAAATGAACAAGGAAAGACATGCAAGATTGACGTGGTAATTCTTCCTTGATCCCATCAGATGAAACGGTAGAAAAAAATAAGAAAACTTCTATCAACTATCAAGTGCCTGAAAGTACCTGTTGGTGCATCTGAAATTATTATAGCCAGGCAGCAGCTTGCACTGGCAGCAGGTTTTCCAAAGTTTGACCGTCTCTGTAGTTTATGATTTTAGAGATACAGGTGAGGCAAAGGTCCCACCATCTGAGAAGTTCAGGAAAGGGCAGGTTGAACAGGTTTCCTTACCGTAGGACTTCTCACAATAATAGGCATTGTGAATCTCTAAGCAATCCACTGTTTTCCAAAGAACTCTTGAGGGAAAGCATCTCACAAAACAAACAAACAAACAAACAAAAAACTGTTGTTCCTATCTGCTTAATGCTGGCTCAGGGAGCCTTGGTTTTAAAGTCTGACAAACTAGAATTTGAATTCAGCTTGTCCTTAAAACCCCTATAGCTCAGATTGTGTGTAAGAAAACTGGGTAAGAGCACTTCACCTGATGGGACTTGTACTCAGTACTTAGTGAAGAGCTTCCGGAAGGAATGCAGAACCGGCTCGAACAAAGAGCAGCCCTTCTTTGTGGGTGTAAAGTTAGGAGGGGCTGTGCATGGCAGGTACCCACTTCCTTCAGAATGACTTGGTTGGGGCCTCTCAGAGGCTAAACCCCCAGGGGTAGCTAGAGAATCTGGGATAACTGAAGATTCACAAAGAAATGGGCTCTCCTAGTCCCCACCAGGGTGCTAAGATCTGAAACAATGCTATTCTAACAGTAATGATAATAGCTAAGATCACTACTATTTACTCACCCAGTAGGTGTTTTATGGTTAGAGTATTCTAGTGAATTTTCAACACATCTTCAAGGTAGTATCATCATCATTCCATGTTATGAAGAAAATAAGACTCAAAACTAAATACCATATTCCCTGGCACAGGTTATTAGTGGCAACACTAAAACCTCTTAGCAGTCATTCAAGAGTGATAGCTGGGCATGGTGGCCCATACCTATGATCCTGGCACTTGGGAGGTGGAGGCAGGAGGATCGGGAGTTTGCAAACAGCTTCAGTAACTCAGAAAGTTTAAAGCCAGCGTGTTCTACATAAGCCATGGCAAAGAGGCAGGCAGGGAGCATAGTGAGGTGGGGAGAGTAGACCTAAACTGGACATGGTGGTTCATATTAGAATCCCTGAATGTCAGAGAATCACCTGAAGTTCCAGGCTAGCCCAAGCTACAGTGGAACGTCCAGGCCAATCTGAGTTATAAAGTGAGACTGTGTCTGGAAAACAAACCAAAAAATGAAATACAAGCCTACTAAAGGATAGCTAGGTCTTGGTTTCAGGATCTGGTCTATCATTCTATATAAGAACTAAATCAGTAAACAGAATTCTTGACCACTACAAGGTACTAGTACCAATTCTTAACACACAGATAGATATGTGGTGGTCTACTAAGATTATATGAGGACAAAGGAGGGAAAGGGAAAATTCTACACATGAGATTGTATAGAGGAATGTGGAAAATACTCCATGAAGGACCTGCCTGGAAGGTTCTTTCCTCATTTATCTCTTTCCTCATCTCTTAGCCTTCACCCAAGGAAACCATAGAGTTTTTCCAAAAATCAAATTCATTTGGAATAGACCACAGCTCTTCAGAGTGCAAAGTCATCTGCACGTTCTTTTTAAATGATGCTACTTGCTTTACAAACAGCAATGCTGAAAAAAAAAATCACCCTGAGAAATTACGAAACCATAAAACATACTGTAAGGAGTACATATTCCCTCTTTCCATATGAGATATGTTTATAGTATATGATTTCACTGACCAATAATGCCTAAGTACAAAAAAAATATTACCTGTATCTTCTGCTTGACCAGTGTAGAAGTTTTCCTCACTCCAGGTGTTTTGGGAGAAGCAAAGATGAGAAAAGCCTGTGTGTGGAATAATTCAGAGGTCTGCAAAGAAAGAGGTACAGTTTCAGAACACTCTGGAGCGCCCCTCACACGTGTACACACAAAACCACACTTCACATCTTTGGAGGGAAAGTTCTTGCTTAAATAACCACAGAGAGAGAGAGAGAGAGAGAGAGAGAGAGAGAGAGAGAGAGAGAGAGAGAGAGAGAGAGAGAGAGAGAGAAAGATTGAGAGAGAACGAGCAATAGCTAGAGCAGGGCCAAACTACTGTGCCTTTCAGTGTGAAAGAAAAGCCAGGATATACACACCCTGGGGAAGCTGATCAAGCCTCTAAGGCGTGGCTGTCTGCCACAACCCTGCTGTTACTGGCCTGGACATAATAGGGCGTGCCCAAGTAATGGTCTGCAATCTGCAGTCATATGACTACTTCCAAGGGGACCATACTCCATCCAGGCAGGACCAGACTGCTGTTTGCAAAGGAAAGCCACATCAGCATAAAAGAGAAAAGAGAAATTCAGTAAATAAGGGCAGAAAAATTGTTCTTTGTGTCCAATGAAGGTGAATTTTAGAAAGCATTGATATAATTTGTATATAATTAGGAGAAAGAAGTAGGAAAATATTCCTTAAGACTAGAAAGACATGAGTTTAAAGGAAATGCATTTGAGAACACTCAAACACTATTTCATATGATGTTTATATTGCTTCAGCTGTTCAATTAACTCCTTTTTAGAGAACCTACCTATGAAAGAGACACAGTCTCCTTATTATCAAAAAGGAAACAGAAAATCGATCTGTAGTTCTGCAGGGTGGGTTTTAGAAGGAAGAGGTGGAAGGCACACGTGAAACCTCAAGCAACAATATCATTAACAGATGCCAACGGCAGCAGCTCATCTACCTTCTGGAACAATGCGAGGCCCTTGTTCCCAGAGACTCTATTCCCAAGACTCATGCTGGCTTCAGGCTACATCACCAGCAATTTTTCTCTCAAACTCTCACGAGGTGGTTACATCAGTATATGTTTTCACACTTAACTGTCTTTAGGCTTTGGCAACCAAGATTGACAGGACTCTGGATATAACCATTTCATAACCCTCCCCAAACTGCTCTTTAGTTCAATATCTTTCTACAATTGAGAGCCACAGGAGAGCTAGCAAAATAGTGACTAGTTTGCTATTTAATCTAATGGAGTCACTTCAAAAATAACTGGGAAGGCAGTCTGAAGTTTCTGTATTTTATTAGCATATTTAATATTACCAGAGAGTCTCCTTATGAGGCACTACAACCATACAGGTTTTCATGGCAGGAATGCCAAAGTTAGGATCTGATGAGGCTGCCACACACATCGTAAATGATAGCATAATTACCCAGGCTCCCCTGCAAAATTGTGGACCATGTAGCTCCATGGGCAGCTTTCCAGCCAAGTGCCTGTTGGGTCCACAGTGAGTAAATGATGGCTATGTCTAGATGTAGTTGTTCAGATGTCACCTCCTCTGTGTGAAGCCTTCTCTGAATCACCAAAGGGGAATTAGTCATTCTGTCTCCTGTCTCGAAAAGTCATGGGCGTGTCCAATCACAGAGCTTCCCAAAGTGTGCTCTAATTTGTCCTTTTACAAATTAAACCCTAAAGAGAAAGAACTCATGCTAGTCCTCTTGGCATCCATAGGCTTGGATACACAAGAGGTACTCAATAATTATTTGTTTAATCACAGAAAGAAGGAAAAGAACTCGGATGGTTATTTTAACAGCCAGCCTCTGCACCATGAATTAGATTAGCTATATCTTTAATATAATTTAAAAAAAGGCATAGGGTGACTTCTAAGGTAGGATAGGAGATTAGAAGCTGCCTCCATGGGAAGAGTAAATGAGCACAATCAGGGTGACAGAGAACAGACATGAGAAATCACAGATAGGATAATTAGGGCCGCTGAAGAGTGTAGAGAAACAGAAAAGGGAAATGAGTGACCACCAAATGGCTCCCAGCATAACTCCCAAGAGAGGGGAGGGGACAGAAACCTCATATAGAGGCAGTTTGCCTTTGCCCCAAGTGGTCCTTTATGCACATATACATATATTTGTGTATACACACATATGTAACAAAATAAAGAAAAAGAGGCAGTAGATTTGAGAGGAACAGAGGAGAGGGAATGAGCAGGGTTAGAGGGAGGAAACGGAAGGGAGAAAATTATGTAATTATATATTTTTTATTTTATAATTTAATTTAATTTTACATATCTGCCACGGGTTCCCTTGTTCTCCCCCCGCAGTCCCCCCCTCCGCCTTCTTTCCAGCCCACCCCCCATTCCCATCTCCTCCAGGACAAAGACTCCCCTGGGGATTGAGTTCAACCTGATAGATTCAGTCCAGGCAGGTCCAGTCCCCTCCTCCCAGGCTGAGCCAAGTGTCCCCAGGTTCCAAACAGCCGGCTCATGCACTAAGGACAGGACCCAGTCCCACTGCCTGGGTGCCTCCCAAACAGATCAAGCGAATCAACTGTCTCACCCATTCAGAGGGCCTGATCCAGTTGGGGGCTCCTCAGCTATTGGTTCATAGTTCATGTGTTTCCATTCGTTTGGCTATTTGTCCCTGTGCTTTTTCCAATCTTGGTCTCAACAATTCTCGCTCATACAAACCCTCCTCTTTCTCACCAATTGGACTCCTGGAGCTCCACCTGGGGCCTGGCCATGGATCTCTGCATCCGGTTCCCTCAGTCATTGGATGAGATTTCTAGCACGACAATTAGGGTGTTCGGCCATCCTATCACCAGAGTAGGTCAGTTCGGGCTTTCTCTCAACCATTGCCAGTAGTCTATTGTGGAGGTATCTTTGTTGATTTCTGTGGACCTCTCTAGCACTTTGCTTCTTCCTATTTTCATGTGGTCTTCAATTATCATGGTCTCTTATTTCTTGTTCTCCCTCTCTGTTCTTGATCCAGCTGGGATCTCCCGCTCCCCTAAGCTCTCTTTCCCTCGAACTTTGTCCTTCATTACCCCCACTCACATCCAGGTTGTTCATGTAGATCTCATCCATTTCTGTCATTGGGCAATCCCTGTGTATTTCTTAGGGTCCTGTTTTCTAGGTAGCCTCCCTAGAGTTGTGAGTAGCAGTCTAGTCATCTTTGTTTTACATCTAGTATCCTCCTATGAGTAAGTACATACCATGTTTGTCTTTCTGAGTCTGGGTTACCTCACTCAGGATGATTTTTTCTAGATCCATCCATTTGCCTGCAAACCTCATGATGTCATTGTTTTTTTTCTGCTGAGTAGTATTCTGTTGTGTATATGTACCACATTTTATTTATCCATTCTTCAGTTGAAGGGCATCTAGGTTGTTTCCAGGTTCTGGCTATTACAAACAATGCTGATATGAACATAGCTGAGCAAGTGCCCTTGTGGTATGATTGAGCATTGCTTGGGTATATGCCCAAGAGTGGTATAGCTGGATCTTGGGGGAGATGGATTCCCAATTTTCTAAGAAAGCGCCGTATTGATTTCCAAAGTGGTTGTACATGCTTGCATTCCCACCAGCAGTGGAGGAGAGTTCCCCTAACTCCACATCCTCTCCAGCATAAGCTGTCTTCAGTATTTTTGATCTTAGCCATTCTGACAGGCATAAGGTGGTATCTCAGAGTCTTTTTGATTTGCATTTCCCTGATGATTAGGGATGTTGAGCAATTCCTTAAATGTCTTTCAGCCATTTGAGCTTCCTCTGCTGAGAATTCTCTGTTTAGTTCTATAGCCCATTTCTTAATTGGACTGTTGGGCGTTTTGATGTCTAATTTCTTGAGTTCTTTATATATTCTGGATATCAGCCCTCTGTCAGATGTGGGGTTGGTGAAGACCTTTTCCCATTCTGTAGGCTGTTGCTTTGCCTTGTTGACCGTATCCTTTGCTCTACAAAAGCTTCTCAGTTTCAAGAGGTCCCATTGATTGATTGTTTCTTTCAGTGTCTGTGCTACTGGTGTTATATTTAGGAAGTGATCTCCTATGCCAATGCATTCAAGACTACTTCCTACTTTCTCTTCTATCAGGTTCAGAGTAACTGGATTTATGTTTGAGGTCTTTGATCCACTTGGACTTACGTTTTGTGCACGGTGATAGATATGGATCTATTTGCAACCTTCTACATGTTGATATCCAGTTATGCCAGCACCATTTGTTGAAGATGCTTTCTTTTTTTCCACTGTACAGTTTTGGCTTCTTTATCAAAAATTATATGTTCATAGGTGTACGGATTAATGTCAGGGTCTTCAGTTTGATTCCATTGGTCCACATGTCAGTTTTTTTTTTTTTTTTTTTTTTTTTTTTTTTTTTTTTTTTTGGTTTTTCGAGACAGGGTTTCTCTGTGTAGTTTTGCGCCTTTCCTGGGACTCACTTGGTAGCCCAGGCTGGCCTCGAACTCACAGAGATCCGCCTGGCTCTGCCTCCCGAGTGCTGGGATTAAAGGCGTGCGCCACCACCGCCCGGCCACATGTCAGTTTTTATGCCAGTACCAAGCTGTTTTTATTACTGTAGCTCTATAGTAGAGCTTGAGGTCAGGGATTGTGATGCCTCCAGAGGTTGTTTTATTGTACAGGATTCTTTTGGTTATCCTGGGTTTTTTTTGTTTTTCCATATGAAGTTGAGTATTATTCTTTTCAGGTCTGTGAAGAATTGTGTTGGTATTTTGATAGGAATTGCATTGAATCTGTAGCTTGCTTTTGGTAAGATTGCCATTTTTACTATGTTAGTCCTGCCTATCCATGAGCATGGGAGATCTTTCCATTTTCTGATATCTTCAATTTCTTTTTTCAGGGACTTAAAGTTCTTCTCATATAGGTCCTTCACTTGCTTAGTTAGAGTTACCCCAAGGTATTTTATATCATTTATGGCTATTGTAAAGAGTGATGTATCTCTGATTTCCTTCTCAGCCTGTTTGTCAATTGTATATAGGAGGTCAATCTAGAAAATACACAAGCCAATCTTATGGGGCATTACTCAATTAAGATTCCCTCTCCCCAAATATTTCTAGGGATATATCCAACCAGCACACTATCCATGATGCTAAAGTGACACAATAAATAAACTGTTAAAAGCCACAAAAGAAAATTCATAAAAGCAGATCTATCAGAGAAACGTCTGGCCTTTCATCACAAAACCCCAAATCCAGAAAGCATGGAATGATATCTTTCAAGCTCTGAATGTAAATCACTACTAACAAAGATTATTCCATCAA